GGCATGTACTTATAATAAATTACGTATTGGCATATGATTAATTATCATAATAAATATATGTCGGAGTATTTATAATTTAAATTTTGGGGTTATATTAATTTAGGGTGTGAACAGAATCCGCCGTGATGGTACGTATGTACGTACAGTACGTCAAGTTTAATACAACTGATAAGAGTTTAATAAATTAGATTGATTATAAAAAAAAATTCTTTGTTATTTTATCTTCCATAATATGGCTTCAAATTCTTGCTAGTTTTTTTGGTTTTTCTATTTCAAAGCTTTCAAAAAAATCATTAATGATTACATAAAAAATAGAAAAACGAAAGACATATAATAAATCGTTCAAAGTATGATCATTGCCTAGCTATTTTATGAAACCTGTCAAGTAAATATGAATATTCGAACTTTAAATATTGGCTTCTTAATATCTTTAAATTAATTAAAGTTGGAAGTATCAATAAACTGAATGTTAAATCTAATAAACATAATTGTAGTAACAAATCGATATATTACTCAGAACTGTTAGATGATTTATAATCTTAATAAAAAACGATATAAAATTAAAAAACATGTGTTAAATTTAAAACCTGGTAATTTGGATCCTGATATTGATAGGCTAGACAAGCATTTATTTCTTTACGAAATTTTGGTGCTCAACAAAACTTAACCCGACCACTAAGTATTATAAATAAAACATCCAACCAAAAAATGATAGCTGTTATTTAATAAAACAAATTGTGAAAGTAGAAGTTATCTTGTTATAAGAACAATGCTCTTTGTACTTTTTGTTATAATTGTATTTGCCGAGATATATACAAAAATCATATAGTGCTTAGCAGTTGTTTAATCTTCAACATGTGGATTTTGACAACCATAATGGAAATTAAATACAATAATTAATAATTTGATTTACGTTGCGAATTTTTGATTTTTTTTTTTTTTTTAATCAATAAAATTATACTGATACCGATTAAAATATAAAATACAATTTTGAAGCTATATAATTTTTAATTGATGGAAAGTTGAAAGATATATCAAATTTTTTTTTCAATGAAAACTCCTATTATGTGTATCTCAACCACTCTATACTTTGAATGTTTTCTTGAATTGAAGACATAACAGAAATAATATAAATTTTAAAATTTTTAGTTCGTTCATTATAAAAAGATACTATTATAAAGGGTGTTGACCATACTTAATGTGTTAGTAGAGTATATTATGGTAATTTCAAAAGTATGTACTGTAAGGTTAACAAAATTTATAAAATTTAATTTTAAAAGTGAAACATCTTTAACATTAAGGATTTAAAGATATAATCCAGCGTAGATTATAAGAAATGTTTTTTTCATTTAAAGAATTTTTTTTTTAATTTATATAGTATGTGTTTATTTGAGACTTATTATCATACTTTTAAAACCAATATTTTTCTTATCACGTATTTTATTAAGAACTGGTCTTTAAAATTTTTGAAAATTATAATTTATAAAAAATTTAAAGTAAAGAAATATGAGTACTTTTTTGAATTCAAAACAGTAATATTAGAGGCTAAAGGTTATGAAAAAAATGAAAGACAACGTGCTTTTTTGAAATAACAAGAACATGATTCAAGAGAAATAATGTTAAAAAATGGTGTTTTCGTTTTATTAAAATTTATAATTTTATTATTGTTATCATTAAATTTTTAACTTGGCTCAACCTATTTGAACTGATTAATGAGCCACAAACCTGGCACACATTCAAGAATTGCCATGTAAAATTATTGGTATAAAATTGAGTATATGCTTATAAATGATTGGGTCAGGTCGGGCCGGGTCAGGTTGAGTTTAAACCCGATCTGACCTGACCAGTAATACTGTAAAAATATAGTCTAGCCTAGGCTTAGCTCCTATGTTTTCTTTTTTCCTTCAAATTCTTTCTTCTTTTCAAGAAGTATGAGACAAAAGGAGGAAAGTTTAAGCAAAGAGATTATGAAAATAAACAGAAATAAAAAAAAAAAGAAATACTAATTTTAAAAAAGAAAAAATATAAAAGAAATCTAAGACTCTAAAGTCATTATTATAACCCATGCATGGCTGATAAAAATTATAATATATAGTATATTACAGTATTAGTAAGAATTTAACTAATTTCAACCACTCTATTTTTATAGAATTTTTTATATAAATAAATATTCTTTAAAGATAAGAGTTAGAATACAAAGTATAAGTTTGAGTATAAATTATTTATATGCAAAATCAGGTGCTAAAAACCTTTTTTTAATAATTTAAAATTAGTTTTTGTAATAAAATTTTGTAACATTGATAATTTTTTAAAAATTTCTTTGGTTTGTTACACAAGATCCTGCAATCTAATTAGTAAATTGTAGGGTGGTTATATCACCAAGTTAGCAACATTTAATTTTATAGTATAAATTATAATAAACTTTATAATAAATTCTATTTAATGAATCATGTATTTAATAAGCCTGTTCTTTAAATCTGAGTTCGAAAAAACTCTCAATTCCAAGTTTTCATTCATTAGAAGTTGATACATTACAATAAGGTTTTATACAGTATATAAATTTAAATACGGATTACAATTTTAGAAAAGTTGATAAATATTATATATAGAGTCTATAAATAAATTAAAAATTAGATCATTTTAATGTCATATAGAGTTGTTATCGAGTCCAATGATTTAAACGAAAACGTGGGTTTAATAAATTCAATATATGAATTTTATACTAAATCAAATCAAAAATGAATTTTTTTTTTAATTAATGATTCTCTAGAATTAATATACAAGAGCAATCGATAACACTTTTACGTATTATACGTAATTATATTCAAAGCAGGTTAGTGTGAACAAGTTTTTTTTAAAATTACGCAGAAAGAGTTTTCTATAGAATTTTCTATGGAATTTTCTATTCCGAGATGCATATAAACAAATACTAAGATAGGCATGGGTAAATAAAAGTCCGATACAATATGAACGAATTTGTTATTCCATTAAATCCTGGAATAAATAAAAAAATACTGGCCGATGGAGGTTATTTATCCGAATCAACAATAAGTTACTAATATCAGATTCAACCGAAAGATTTTCGGGGTTTGCAAACTCCCCGTATAAAGTGATATTCCCATAATTTCGTATTTCCATGATCGATTGACGTATAGTTTCGTCATAGTTTCAGAACCTCATTGTTATGTAATTAAATGCATTTCATACTTAACCCCTCGTGAAGCTGATAATCGATATTGTGATATTCACACGCAAAGACATATACTGAATCTATCAGTCTCACTTAATAATTTATTTAAATTATGGTTTGATTCAATTCAATCCAACTTTATATCTTTTAATTTTTCTAACCTAATAGCATCACCGCTTTCTAATAATTCACAAGACTTCTGCTCCGTACTTAAAACATTTCCTGTTTCTACATTTAATAAGACCAATCTCTATATATATATATATATGTATATATATAAAATAAAATAAAATAAAATAAAAATTATTATTATTACATAGTTAATAAAAAAATATATATTTCTATTGCATTAACACAAAAAAAAAAAATTACATCAGGATCATCGACTGCAATCCGATTATTAACATTCCGAATTTTTCCTTCTATTGCAACTTTGTCAAGTACTTTACCGATCGTCCAATTCTGTTAGTAATAAAATCGAGTTACTTAAACAAAATCAATGATATTCCATAAATATTTATATTACATAAAATTCATTACCTTATTAAAGAACATTGGTTTATTAACAACATTTGAATTATTTAAAAATTCGACATTAAGAAATAATCTTGAATCCATAGGAATTGATGAATCACCCTAGTGATGTTTAAGTTTTTAATAAAAATTTAATAAAATAATTTTAAAATTTAATTCAAAATTTTAAAATACCTGAGCTTTTGATTTTAATTTCATAACTTCGATCATTTTATTTCCTTTCTTTTTAGGTTTTGCAGTAAGCGAAGATTGAGATTTTGATGAGGTAGCAGAAGTTGACGTATTATCATTAGTGTCGCTATTAGTTTTCTTGAAATATTTAGCAATTAATTCTTCAGCCATTTCTCGTCTTTTTGCTTTGTTTTCTGATGCAATGTTTAATGAAGCACATTGATGCGTTGATGGGTGGCGGTGTCTTAAACAACAACAACAACAGCAATAATAATAATAATAATAATAATAATAATAATAAAAATAATAATTTAATCTACATTATTTGGTTAAAAATAAGTCAATCCCTCAAAATAAGTTTCAAAATCTTACTTCAAACAAAACATATCTCCACATCCATCGCAAACTACATATATCATTACACCTCCTTCGGATGATTTATTATTACATAGCTTGAGATTGCATTTTTTTTGAGTTGTAGATGATATTGAGGATAATAGATGCAACGTACAATTTGATTGCTTATGCTCCTCTAACTATTTAATTATTTTAAAAAAAAGGTGTTTGATAATGCAATTATTAAAAAAATAAAAAAGATTAATCAGCAGAAAAAAATATTCACACTATTAGCCAATTATGCGGTTATTTTTGAAATTTCTAGAATTTTTTGAAACGTAACAAATAACACGTCAGGCTAATCAATTATGTGAATATTATTTTTTATTCACACAAAAAAAATTAAAATTAAAAATATTTATATATCTATCATACAATCTTATCTTCTGTTTCATTTTGTGGCACCAATATCATGGAAGAGCAAACTGAACATAATTGGATATTCTTATTTAAAAAAAAATAATAGCGATAATTATTAGTGATTTTTAAGTGATCTAATTAGTATATAAAGCATCATGATGATCCCCCTTTTTAATAAACACTTCTTTAAAAAAACGATCTCTTGATATATAATAAAAACATTTAATTGAAAGAAGGTACAAGATTTTTACACTTCACCACTTTTTCAATAAAAAAAAACTTACACGTTTATTCTCCGCCCAACGTAAACAGTTGTGCGAAGGTGGGTATCTATGATCCAAACTTTTTTTCAAGGTATATAATAAAGTTCGAAACTTATTCTTTTACGTCTTTTTTATTTAGATAAGAAAAGGAAGCCACCCATACCAATACTTTAAACCACAACAACCACAATAAAAGGGCAAAAAGTCTATTTGACGGTAAGTATGATTAAATAAAGTACAACATATTATGATAGATTAGAATAATATAATGAAGCATTATTGGAATTATTGGAATTGAGATGGATAAAATACCAAGTTGTTTGCAAGTATCTAACGAACACTGACCACCAAGAGATGGGAATTCCATCAAAGAACAGATATACATATGCTTCTAGAACTTTTTTAATCCCATTTAGAAGTTACACTATGAGCCACATTTGCCAATCTCCACGAGTTACTAATAATAGATTATTGATAAAATTTTGAGATTAGACAAAATCGGAATAGGAATATTGATATTCGCATTCTAAATCGTTAGTCATAACGATCGTGATAATCTTTTCCAGTATTTTTAATATGATGGATGAAAAGTATAAATATCACTATCGTTATTAACATTTTTCTAAAACAATACAAAATTAACAACAAGACACTAACTCAAACAATTCAAAATTATCTACTAGCCACATCATTAGCCACACTACTGTTATTACCATACTGGGTATTACTAAATCGTTAAGCATGCAATTGAAAGTACCATTCGAATACGAATCCGAAACCAAAGACTTCGACTTTGAAAAATACTACTATTATTTTGTAAAAACCAATCCAAATTTATATTATGGCGATAAAGATGCTTTAAATCTCATTAAAAAATACTCAGTAATAAGCAAGTATGAATATCTTCATCCATCATCATTCGATTCTAGTAGTCATTATGTTCGGGCCTTAAAGGATGAAGTTTTTGCAGACAAATTAGGAAGTGTCTTTAAAAGTTTTAATTATGCTTCTGTGGGTGTTATATTCATTAAACTAGTCAAATTATTAAATCCAGACGGGGAGGATAAAAATGGGGAATAATAATGCTTTTGTATATTTTTTAAATAACACTTATAATGATATACTCCATTCATGCATCGCAACACATTCGCTTTCACAGATATCAATAAAAATATATTGATATTGCACTGTACAAAGAATCATTCTGCAAATAGAAGTTTTAAAGAATCATGCTACAAATAGAAGTTTTAAAAAATCATGCTACAAATAGAAGTTTTAAAGAATCATATTTCAAATAGAAGTTTTATTGAGACTTTTTTTTTTAATCTGGTTATAATACCGTTTCTCTTGATTATTAAATATTAGATAAATCCCGTGATATACAGTATGTGATGACTTAAAAATTCCATGTATTGTTCATAATACGTTTCTTTTTTGTTTTTTTTTGTCATCAATAAATGTAAATTAATCAAGAAAGAAAATTTCTGACATAATAAAATTAAAAATTCTATAATTTATCCATTAACCGATAAAATTAACTACAAAAAAGTGAAGAACGATGCTGCAAAATACAAAATCGGCAAAAGCTCTACAAAAAATGAAATAAGTAAAATAATTAAATATTTTGAATAGTAATAAAAACTATACGGTAATAAAATTACCTCTCGGGAGATATTGACTTGAATTCAGCTGCATTATCAGGATTGGTTTGTATCCGTAAATTAGCTATATGGAAAATATATTAAAAAAAGGCTTTTCAATTAAATTTATTCATGGTATAACGAAAATAGATTTTTGTAAGGAAAATGAAAGCGAAGGATATGTATGTTAAAAAAAAACCAACCTGCCAACACAAACGAACCAACAGTAGAAATAAATCCTGCTAAGAAAGCATTATATGGAAAGGTTCCAACGAGCACACAATGTACAAATTGGAAAACACCAGAAAAGAGAATAAAAACTAAATAAGCATCAATAAGTTGAAGACTTTGTGGTGTATTCTTTGAATATGATGTCCATAATCTTTGAATAGCGCTTGAAACCTTATCTGACATTTTTTTCTAATATCGACATATTATTTTTCAAATTTGTTGGAAATTAAATACATCAGAACGACCAATAAAATTGTCCCACGTTAACCAATTACGGAGCTTTTCCTTAATAGTGTATTGCTGTATTGGTTTGTATACTTTTTCTGATTCGAGTTGGTTTGATATTATAACTTGCATAAACTTTATATAACAAATAACAAACCGTCAGGAGCAACTAATCCAAAGTCACTCACAAAAACTATGCTTACACCTCCATCAACTGTTGACATATTGCGTAGGTTACTAGTTCATTCTGATGGCCGTGATAAAACTTTAAAAATTATCCAATACTTTGGAAAAATTATTCTTTGGCTTCAGACTCGTAGGGCTCCCAAATCGATACATGGCCGTCTACTTAATGTCATTACTTTACTCATTCGAAATAAATCCTTCTCTTCAAATGTTACTCCTCGCTTAAAAGCAATGACTTCACAATTTAGTACAACACGTAAAATAATTCGTTTAGCTCATTTTCTAGAACCTTATTCAGAGTTACGTGAATATTATACAGGTGCACGTAGAATCTCCCGTTCATCAACTTCTTACGAAAAACTTGTTCATTATTTTGGTGCTCTCAATGCATTTCTTGGTCTAATGAATGATATATTCGATGATTTATATTGTCTTGGTAAAATTGATATTTTAGATAAATCAATTGCTAAATGGGCTGAGCCTATTTCAATTAAACTTTGGTTTTTCTGTATTTGTTTGGATATCCACGAAACCTTATTCAAAATTTGGCAAATGAATAAGAAAATTAAAAAAGTTAATTCAGAGGAATTAGAAAAGTATCAACAGAGGTTACATTGGTTAAATATTAGTTTAGCTAAATTTTTTATGGACTTTTTGTTTTGCGGTATGTATTTAAATTCACTAATAATTTTTGTGGGGATGATGCCGAAATCGGGTGTTTTTTCGTTTTTTTATGGGTTGGCTATGTTTTAGGGGTTAAAGTTTATAATCAATGAGTATAATCAATGAGTATAATCAATGAGTATAATCAATGAGTATAATCAATGAGTATAATCAGTGAGTATAATCAGTGAGTATATGTAGGTTTATAGGATTTATATTTTTAAATAGAGACTCTAAAAATTTCAGCATCATTCCCGGCAATTTTATCAAACTAAATTAAAAATGTTATTAATTTCAACTTTTTGACCTATTTAAGGATACGATTTCTTTGATTTTACTTTCTCAGATGGTGTGCAAGCACTTTCTGGGTTCTTTGCTGGAATCCTAAGTAAGTTTATACCTTTATTTGATTTGTGTAAAACTTATAGTTGCTTTTAACTGTGTTTGTTCTTTTATTAACAAATTTCACTTTTATTCATTAGGTTTTTATAAGCTTTGGGAAAAGGAAAACCAAAAGCTCATGATGCTTTCACAATCTTCTTGAAAGCTCAAATAACTTATTTTGATGGGCAGTGTAATTACTTATGTTATTTCAATTATATAATTACACTGTTTATTAAAATTTTTTATTTATACGAATTGTGATTACTAATTAAACCGACCATTTTTGTGTTAACCTTCCTAATACTGTATTCACTCGCCTAACAGTCTCTTTTTATCACAATTGTCATTAGCATTAGCTAATGCATTTATTGTTAATAAGAGTCATTGATTGGATTTAAAATGGTATGACTTTATCTAATAGTCTAAATAATAATTCAAAACAAAAAAAAATCCATTCTTAAGAAAGTTATGTGCAGGTGAATTAAAATAATTTATTTACTTTGCTAGATGGTATATGATATAAAAGATTTGGCTACGTATACCTATTTTATTTATAGAAAAAATTATTGCTTTTTAGCATTATATTTTTATATCATGTTTTAATAGTTATTGTATTGTATAATATATTTAAAAAAAATATATTTAAACAAAGTAATTTAAGGCTAGTTAAACCTATTTGAGGTCTAAAATTAGTGTTGTTGTTGAACGTTTTTAAAAGCTTTTCGGACATTTTTTAATGACAATTATACTATATTTATTTATCGTATAAACGCGAAATAACGTGCAGAGGTATAATTTCGAATTTTGACCTAATTAAGCTTAATTCGGGCCATTATTCAAAATAACGCCTCGCCTAGATTTTGTTATAACAATCGATTTTAAATTTTTAAATAAAAATTTTAACAAATAAAAAAATATGAATATATATTTTTTATTTAATACTATATATTTAGAAATTAATAATTGCAATTATAAAATCACTATAGAATAAACTAAATGATGCCTATGCACTTTGTACTCCTTTGTTTATTTAATAAAATTGTAAGATTTGTATGTAACTATAACAAAATGGGTTATATAATTTAGCGCACCTAAAAAACTCGTTCCTATTTACCCCTGAAAATCAAAATCGCAAATAAATGGAAAAAGTATATAGTTTAAACTTTATAAGTAACAAAATACTAGATATAGTTCTTCGGGACATGGCAATACTATCATAATAAGTAATCTAAAACAGACCAAGATAACAAAAGAACAAGACATGTTCTTTACACTACTTTCAAAGCTTTTAAACCATTCTTTACCCAAATCTTACTCCTTTATTGGCACTGTGGAACCTCAGTAAACAATACTAATGATGTACCAACTTCAAACCCTCATCTACCACTAACAAAAAAGAAGAGAACTAACAAACAATTTTTATTCTAAAATCCAAAGACAATATTAAAAATATAGATGACAAATAATGTAAATCAATTTTTTAAAATATTATTTATATATGCCATGTAATATAAACAATTGTATAATATACATGATTTTTGATTTTTTACTATATAAAAAATTGTATTACACTGAGTACTATATACAATCCTAGATGGTAAAGATTATATATAAACTCAAAAAATTATTAAACCAGTATAATTTAACTTTTAATTAGAATTATAAATTGAGTTATGCTTTATTTAATAAGCCAATAAAAATTTTTTAATCAAAAAGTAAATCTTTTCTTTTTTCTATTAAACAGCACCATATGCAGTGTTGTATATGAGACATGTCTATACTATGTCCAATGTCCAACATCCAAGATTGTTTAAAATTGTCCAAGCCTATGTTTTAAGTTTAAATAATCAATAAAGTAATTTAAAAAATATATATAATTATATATTTTTTTAGAAGCTAAATTTATTTATAAAAAAATTAAAATAGATTATTTATAAAAAAATTAAAATAGATTATTTTAATAAAATTTTGAGTAATTTTAATTTGAAAAAATGTTAAAATTGTTCTATGTACAACATTGCCTATATGATATATTAATTAAATAAAAAGCTATCTACTATTAATTAGTTTAAAATTTGTGAATTAACACAGATGATAATATAAGTAGATGTATAATATTGTCTTGCTAAGGGAGCATCCATAATTTACGTTAAACCAGTATTGTTATAGGAATCTTAAAGATAATACTAAAATAATACCATATGGCATTACTTTTGAGGCCTCTATCTTTATACAATACAGTGCTGGTTTAATGTAAATTATGGATGCCTCCTAACCTAGAAACAACTTAATATAAGCTTAATTTAAAAACTGTTAGACAACTTCAATATATATACTGTAGTTTGAATTTAGAAAAAATAAATATCAAATATACAATACAACTAAATAACATAACTATATTAATATAAAATATTATAATAAACAAACAAAAAATTTCATAAGATTTTAAAATTTATATAGTATAAGGTGTAAAATATTTTTTAAAAAACATATACTAGTATATAGTTAACTCCTTCTAAGTGCATATCCTCTAAGTGCAAGTTTTTTTATTTGTATAAAAATAGCCTGGTTTCAAGTTAGGACTTATAAAATAAGTACATGTTCTATATTTTTTAAATGCAGATTATTTTTCAAATTATATATATATAAATATTCTCTCTAAATACATTTTTAATATATTAACTTAGATTTATAATCTGTTATATCTAAATATGAAAACTTAATTCAACAACCAACTAGCTTTAACTCTTCAAATACACCTTATTGGTCTATATGGAATACACTTTTTAATTTTACTAAATTCTACAATCAAAAAATCACTTTTTATAAAGTTAAAGCACATTAGAATAATATATTTAATAACAAAGCTAATAAACTAGCTTACAATTATTTCAATACACTATTTCTTTATATTCAATATTTACAATATTTACAATTCTTTGTATACCCCATATCTAGAAAGTTTCCCTCTTGAACTTTCTATTTGTCATAGTATTTAAACTACTGTATATGCTATGCAAATATCTTTGCTCTTTGTCATCTCAAAATCGTTTTCAACCATAAATATGAATTTTCCAGTATATAAGCTGGGATGCAACTTAGCTATACCTTAACAATAACCAAAAAGTTTCTAACTTTGCTTATAGTTTCTAGTCCTCTACTTTTAAAACATTTAGAATTAAACTTCTTACTAACAAACTTCCTGCACCTTATATATTGTATAAAAGGAACTTACTTTATTCTAATACTTGTCATATCTGTCATCAAGCTAGCACTACATTATACTGGGCTATATGCTCCTTATCTAATCCTTTTTGCATATTTATCAAAATTCTTTACAACAAACTATAACTGCTAACAAGCTTCAAATCTCTTTATTACAAATTAACCTATTGTTATAGAACGAATTTATTATTAGTTTATTATTTTATTATTTATTAATTACCTTAGAATATTATTATTATCTTGTATTATTATTAACATGTCGCTTAGTCGCTTAATCGCTTAGTCGCTTAGTCACTCAGTCGCTCAGTCGCTTAGTCGCTTAGTCGCTCAGTCGCTTAGTCGCTTAGTCGCTCAGTCGCTTAGTTGCTTAGTCGCTTAACTATATAGTCGCTTAGTCGCTTAGTCGCTTAGTTGCTTAGTCGCTCAGTCGCTTAGTCGCTTA